CGCAGAGTTTCTTAACCTGAGAAATTAAGTTATTATTTTTAAGTTATTATTTTTTCATACAGAAATTAACAATATTAACATGCATTAGTCTGTTATAGACTAGTTACATCTATACCAGCGGTCCCCAATCTTTTTTGGTTCCAAAGACTGGTCAGCCAGTACCACCCGTTACTACAGACCGGTACCAAAGTGCTGAGCATTGAAGGATCACTACATTTTCAAAATAAAATATCTTTTAGACTTTATTCTGTTTGTATCAGTGTCTGAATGACCTTTTATTTTTAAATATTGCCAGATTATCTTTAAATAAAGAAAGTAAATGGATATGGTGGATTTCTTTAAATGAAGTAAATTAGTAAAAAAAAAAAAGCACATTTTTTCACTGTGTCCTCCTGTGGCCTGGTACCAAATGACCTGTGGACTGGTACTGGTCTGCAGACCGGGGGTTGGGGACCCCTGATCTTCCATTTACAACCGGCCCTTCAAGGGGAACTGTATTGCTGATGTGGCCCACGGTGAAAATGAGTTCGACACCGCTGCTTTAGACTGTCAGCTAAGGTCAAGGAACGGTTGGCGTAGAAACTATCTACTAAACTATGAGCATGATATACATTATCAACTGATAAGTGTTGAAACTTTGGCCGATACGTTCAGTCACCTGTAATGCTGTCCTGTCCTTGATCAATAACTGTACAGATTATCAAAACTATAAATACCTTTTAGGGTCTGATATTTACCAGAAACATTTAACACAACAGCCCACATGCGTAGCTAAGAATGAAGCTGATACTGGTGTATTGATATATGATGGTGCTGATAGCGGCGTATCAATATCTGCATGTGGCGCCACATACTGTAGGTCAGACTTTTAAAGATTAAAACAGCAGGTCTTATTCATTTATGATTAGAGTGCCCTCTAGTGGCTGAAAATAATGAACGTGTGAAATTATATGTTTTTTAATATGACAAGAATACCACATCAGCATGACTAATACACCGGTGCTTGTGTGGTAATCACGGAGAAAGATGTAAATCTCGCTAATGTTCGTTGTGCTGATCACGTGACAACATGCGTCGGTTTAGAAATCACGCAAAATAAATGCAAAAGTAGGATCATCTGTGCGTTAACTAACTAACTCATCGTTGAGTTTGATATATAGTGTTTGCTATTATATTGACATGTATACTTTATCTAGAAACCCGGACTAAACCCACCCGGTTGACATGGGTGCTTCATCCACTTCGCGTTGAATCCGGATCCGTGTTCCATGTGCTCATGTAAGGATCCCTGTAGGAAACACAAAAAACATTAAGGTCTAGTGAAACACAGCTGTGCAGCAACACAATTTCTTAACAAAATAAGCAGTAATAAATTATATTAAGTGCAATAACTATCATTTCATATGTTCAGGGCCGAAAAAAAATAGTTATCTCTGCACTTTTTGTGCTACGTCATGTTCCACTGATGTCGTCTATTTTTGTAGCATCTGCGCTAAGATAAGTGGAACTGGTTCACTGCAATCTGTCATAGTGCACTACTAATGTCACCACATCCTGTTCCAGCAACACAACTCGGAAGACCAACTATTAAAGTACACCTTTTCCACGATGTAATTAAATCAACCGACTTTAAAAAGCATTTAAATAAAAACAGCACAAGTGTAATCCAATTTAAAATGATATTTAATGGGTTTTTTTTTTTTTTAAATTTAAAATGATATTTAATGGGGGTTTTTTTGTTTTGTTTTTTTTTTCTGACTTTTAAAGCTTGAGCACTTCATTCCAAATGAAATTAAGCTCTGGTGTATTCTCTTTAACACAGTACTTCACCTTTATACTGCCGCAGAAATCATATTTTATATTGTTGCTTGTTATTTTACAGCACCTAATCTTAAGTCTACTCCAGGCTGCAAGTGGCCAGACATGACATCATGAACAGTCTCTGCTGTTTAACCTAAAATCAAAGACATCACAGCAACACCTGAATATAAGCCGCACCCACTAAATTTAAAAAGAAAAAAATTATTGTACATATATAGGCCACACTTGTCCATGTTGTAACATGGGATATTTAAAGTTTTTTTTTCAAACAGTGCCTGTAACACGGCGGGTTACACGTTAGCTCTTTCCTGCTTCGTCGCCCCGACCGTAGTCGGAATGCACAGGGGAAACTTAGTGATCTGCTCCAGGGCCGAAGCTAATATTAGCTCCAGGGCTAACTCCCCTCACTTTGTGCTTGTCCACAGCGGAGGTAAACAGAAACAGGGAAGTTGGGTTCTTTGTTATCATTAATCGCTAGCGGTATGAACTTTGTTAGCCTGTAAAAATCTATAAAAAACCGCATCATTGTTTAAGCCACAGGGTTCAAAAATGTTTTTGTTTGGTTGCCAGATCTGAAACATGAATGCCGTTCTCATCCTATCATTTAATCTCTTTCTTTACTTCCATTGTTGTTTTCAGTATTTTTCTTTCCGCCTTTTCACTTTCACTAGCTTTAGGTCCCATGGTGATTTATGGAATAAAAATATCAGAAATATCAGCAAAATCCGATAACAGTTCTCAGTTCTCAGCAAGTGTGGGCTGAGGCAAGACTTGGCGCCATTTGTTTGAAAATGGAGCTCTTCGACAACTAAGGTTCCACTGTATATATATATATATATTAACTGCAGCCTGTGTGGAATGCTACACTACTGTCCTTTTCTCATTTTTTCCATTCATAAGTGTAATACCAAAAAAAGCATTGAAAAAGATATCATGCTCCACATTTTGCCTCGGTTCACTTCTATGAATTATTAATTTTAATAAGTGAAGATTCCAGGCCTGAGGTTTATTGTGTCATCCTTTACGACACTGGCAGTACCGAAAAAGCAGTAGTCTCACTTCAAGACCTTTAACAACAGAGCCAAGTTCGTTTTTTTTTTTTTAGATAATAATCTGTGAAGATATCCAGTTGCAAGGGTATTAGAAATGTTTTCCTATATTAAATGAGGCGTGGGTGGCATCAATTTTGCTGCTACCCCCTCCCCACAATTTGGTAACGATTGTCTTCTCTTTCAGTAAGTCAATTAGTCTCTCATGCCAGGAGCTCAATATAGGACGCTGCCGTTGTGTTCCAGTGCTTACACTTTGTGTACCGTTTTTTCCGGACTATAAGTCGCACTTTTTCATCCTTTGGTTGGGTTTGACTTATATATTAAAATATATAATTTCACATGTTCATTATTTTCACACAGACAGCCACTAGAGGGCACTCTAGGCTTGCGTACCAGTATCTGCTACTTCTCTACCACTAAAAATTTACTTTTGTTATTTTCACACTGACAGCCGCTAGAGGGCACTGGTGCGACTTATACTCCGGAAAATATGGTATACATCAGGATATACTGTCTGTCTGCCCCCGCCCCCCCGCGCCTAACACTATTGTAGACCTGACAACATGTATATTTTTTTATCTGTATGAGTTGCTGCCACCTAGTGACTGGAGGCTTGTTATCATTCCCGCCCCACTATTTGCGAAGTACTGCGCTAATTGATGGTTTGAAAACGCCATTCTAATATAAGATATGTTGAAACATTTTCCCCACGTTTGCTGCATTTTTGCAGGCGTTGATCGGCTGACCAGAGGCTGAGTCGATAAAGGCTCAGTGAGGCTCATACAGTGTGTGATGCAGTGTGTTTTTATGACTAAGAGATTCCTAAGGTGTGCATTATTCAGCTCTAACCCTCTGCCTGCCACCTCCCTTCAGGTCTCTGCCAGTCCTGTGAAATGAGGTCTCTGCTTGACGTGTGTTAGGATGAGTGTGCATTTGTGTGTGTGTGTTTGGCCTTATAGTGGCTATACTTGAAGAACTAAATTATTATTGAGAGGATGCCTTTTTCTTGCGGGGGGGTTTGGTAAGGTAACGTAAAAGGTTTGGTCAAAGACAGGGTAATGTCAGATTTATATTTATATGTATTTATATATGTATGTTTTTATACGTAACGGCTTTATCTTTGATTTATTTTTTGAATCTGACTGCTATCATGTACAGCGGAATAATAACATTAATATGAAGAGTTCTGGGCAGAGCTGCAGTCTCAGCCGTGACTACCTCTGATTCTTCACTCACTTTCTCACTTTCTCACTCGCACATCCTGCCCCATGTAACAAACACGCATCGACAAAAGGCACATCAGCTAATAAATGCTGTTGATATCATGACAAAAGAACAGGTACTAAACCGGTAGCACAGAGAACGTGAAAGTGAATTTTCATTTGCAACGGCACTTTTCACAAGATTTATAACATTATTAAATGTTTCTATTTACGGTCTCAAACTAAAGGTTTGATATGCTGCTTAATAAAATATAAAGTCAGTGTTTCAGTTATGATCTGAATATTCAGAATATCCAATAGAAAGCCTGATTGTAGGTTCTCTGCTATTAGGATTTCACATTTCTTTAACCCTGTTTATTTATTGTATACGCCTGTATCTGTGACCACGACAACGGCCGTCTTCAAACCTCTCACGGTTCCATAGATGCAGGAACACTAAAAAAACGGGAGCTTTTCTCGAACATTTCGTGATGACTACTGATTCGACACTAAATTGTACCATTTATTGGCCTATAATTCTGGAAGTACTTACTACATATGCAGTTATTTGAAAGTCTTCATTATTTACTCATTCAAATCACGGCGAGAACAGGTACCGGGCACTTAGGCTGCAATCCATTCTGAACTTGTCGGAGGAACACAAATGAATTAAACTAACAAAGTAGTCGATGGCGGCTCGGTATTTCCTCTAAGTAGCTGTGCAGCACTTTGCAGGCACACGGGAGCATGACCCGGATCACTTGTAAAACTTGATTGAGTGCGCGTTAATAAACACAGTGTTGCCTCTCCTCCTCAGGTGATTAATAGTTCGTGTGCTTTATGCAGGCTAAGGACGCAGTCCTGAAGATTGATGGAGGGCCATG